CAAGGGGGAAGAGTAGAAGGCAGAGCTGGCCGAGATCGACTCAGTGAAGGGACAACCTATGACACTTGATGCAACAGAAACACGAAAAAAACAGTAAGCAGAAGATTCAGATTTCCAGAGGATTAAGCAACAGAGGAGACCAAGGAGTCAAATCCTTTGAAATCCCACCAGCATTTTCCGGGCGCGTGTAAAAACTAAGGAGCGAGAGAGGTTGCTTGCTGATGTGAGCAGCAAATTAAAGGTAACAAGAAACTCCTGTTCCTCGTCCTTATGTGCTACGAACGTGATAATTGGGAAAACAACCCAGCAAGAGAGCAGGTATCCAATAGGGATTGGCTCTGGTGCCAGCTGCAGGTTAATGGGGTTAATTGACGCAACATTAAGGAAAGGAAAGATGCTTAACTTTGGATGGGTTTTGAGGATAAAGAATATAAGCATGAACATGATTGTGATTGAGGATGGGATGGATGGATGAATGAATGAACGAACGGCATTGGTCAAATTTTTGAGGAAAGTTAGGGTGGGGAGGGGGTACTTACTTCGAAGAGAAACAAAAAAGCAGGCTAAATCAGATGCTTTGCTTCTTCCCTTGGGATTGGGTTGGAGAGGGAGGGAAAACTAAATTGAAGGAAGGAAGTAAGAGGACTCTTACTTCCTTCTCTTTTTGAGCCTTTCCTTTTCTTTTCTTTTTCCTTTTTTTGTTTTGGGTTTTTGATATTAAGTTAATTGTTTCTTTTTTCTCACTCTATAATCTTAGAAGGCTTAGATTGGTAGCAGAAAGAAGGAGGAGGAACAATAATATATATAAAAATATAAAGTGATTAATGATATAAACAATGTAGAGAGGTTTGTAATGAAGAGAGAGAGAGAGAGAGAGAGGAGGGAGAAGGTATAATATGTTTCTTTGGGAGGGCACCCTCACTTTACTAGTTTCAGGCAGCAAACAGTCTTTTTTTTTTTTCCAGTGGTTTCTTTTTTCTTGGTTGCCGTTACTTTGCATAGATTCGGTTGTTAGGATGTTATACATATTATTATATTGTGTTTTACATTATTCGGTTTTGATATCTGTTGTGAGCATGATTAGAATATTGATTGCTTCAAGATGCGTGAGTGTCTGTGTCCCGCATACATTTGATAAAGAGAAAAGAGAGGAAGGGCGAGGACGAGGACCCACGCCATTCTTGCTTATTCGTCATGATATCGATACATACAATCACAAAAGTAGTGGGGTATCCCTTGGATACTGAGACCTGAGTTAGTAAGAGAAAAAAAAATGGGAAAGTTCAGTTATTATATGCCATTTTTAAAGGTGAGTTATATATCCATCTTTTATAGAAAAGAACATATGTGGATGTAGTGGATTTTGATTCGGATCCAACTAGTTTTTGCCCCTGCCGCCAATAGTACTGTAACGTTCTTGCACCCATAATACTTGAAATATGAAATTTTTGACGTTTATTTTTCGCTTTCACTCTGAAAATTGCACTGTAAATTTGATATATTAGCAAAATAACTTTTACAAACCGACAAGATAATATGTTAAATAGTTTTCAGAACCAAGATTCTCAGTTAAGAGATACACGAATAACTTTTTATCGGCTAAAAAATGCGTATCTTTCTATGGAACAGAGAATGTGTTTAGTAATAGAAAAAAGCAGTTGTTTCCAAGATATCAAAGAGAAAAAGCATAGGAAACAGAGAAAGTATAAGAAGTTATGAACGGGTGATTAATATTAGAGAAGTTGAAAATCTTTTGATTAGTTTCAGATAGAGAAAGCATGTACAATT